GCTGTGAATATCGTGTGTCATGTGAATCTGTGGTTCTCCTAGAGCTACACCTGAATTATGTCCTGCTGAGTTTCAGCAGCATTTGGCAGCGCTTAGACTTCTTGTATGTTTGTAGGTATTTCGCTGTCAAATGTGGACTTCTCTGGTGTGCTCATCAGAACAAGCTACTGGGCATGAGACATGAAGTTCCTTCAACATTCTTAGTAGAGGTGGAATAGCAAATGAGAGGGACAAGGGCTGAGCAGATGATTATTATGTTAAAGTCCATACTGGGTATTTTCTAAAATTATAAAACCTACTCACTGTGCCCTTTAGTATTTCTATGAAAGAAATAGTCTCTCTACATTTTTCCAACATTTATTCAGATTTTCTTGGAAGCAAATATAGGGTTGACATTCATTAACAGTTTGTAAGTCTTTTTAAAGCCAAACATCTGCTTGGCATTCACTGGTGCTCGCAATTTTTTTTTCCTTGAAAGGAATGTGTGTTGAGTATTTATTAGCTTCATTTGTGCATTGTAACTACCTTTTAAGTAGAATATTTATTTAGAGAAATCCTTGAAGCTAAAGACAATCCCCAAAGACTCAAGAAGATCTGTCTTGACCCCTTTTTATTTAATCTACTCATGCTGTGACAGAAAATATGCAAAGTCTCCCTTCAGACCTCCTCTCGGAGAATGCCACTGAGCCAAGCAAGGCGGAAGCTTCTGCCTGGAACGCCACTCCCAAGTGACAACACTCACTGAAATTAAGTGTTTTTTTTTTTTTTTAAATCTACTGTGGGGAAAATGGCCTAAGGGGGGGGGGGCTAAACTTTGATTAGAGATGTTGCAAGTAGAGAAAAATGCTCACTTCAATTTAACTTCTGCTTTTCAGGAGACATGAGTACATAAATTATGTGGAACGGTGATTACTAGACAGTCTAAAAGCTAGAGGCTCTAAGCCAATTTTCAACCAACTGTCACAGAACATAAGTTTCAAAATCTGTTTAAACTAAACTGACAACTACAGAAAAAAATGTAAAATTCTTTGAAAAGCTGGGTTATGTGAACTGATGAGGACCTCAGAAACCACAGGCTGTTTAACACACAGCGATACTTGACTGTGGCCTTCCCACTTTCCTGGAGGGGAAAAGTAAGAGGCAGAACAGCTGCATCCCCAGAGGAAGATCCAAGTGGCATAGAGGCTCTTCCTAGCACAGAAGCAGAGTTCGTCTGAAAACTACAAGGGCAACAGGAAGGCCTGGGACCTGGATGCTCCAAGCTGGGATGCAGTACCAAAGGAGGGAACTGTGTGCCTCCTTCCTCTCACCTGCTTTAGGCATCTGGGTACCTGAAGGATTGCTGTCATCGCTATATTCTAATCTCATCATTCTGCAGAGAGGCTGCTTCCATTCAGAGTCCAGTGTGCCAGAGGGGCAGAGCTATAACAGGCGTCTCCTGATTTCCCAGTTAAATATCATTATCTAAATTATACAAACTGGAAGGCCTTGGGGTAAAAGCATTGGTCATAGTCACTGAAGTCAGGAATTATTCATCTAGAATCTCAGGATAGTTCTTCATTTTAGCTGTGTCCACAAATCTCTATGAATCCTAGAGAAAAGTTTTTTCCCTCAAAGAGTTGAGAGGTGTCTGTGAAACCCCTATAATGGTTCCTGGCACCTTGTTTTGAGTGCATGTATGTTTCTTTTGCAGGAGGTGGTCCAGAACTTTCATTTGTTTTTCAAAAGCCTACAAGAGATCATAGTGGCACATGCCAGTAATTCTTGGGAGGTAGAGGCAGGAGGATTGGTAATTTGAAGCTAGCCTTGGCTATATAGTGGGTTTGAGGCAAGCCTGAGCTACATGAGACCCTGTCTCAAAAACCAACCAACCAACCAACCAACCAAAGTATTTGTGATGTTATGAAATAAGAATCAGTGGACTTAGGCAAGGGAATAAAAGGAAAGAAGCACCAGAAGGTGATGATTATGTTTATAGCCAGAAATTGCTAGAGCTAGGCACATGTCTCCTATCAAACAACTGGGATTATGCAGGTAAATGTGCCCAATGGTGAAAATAAAATCTGTAGTGTCTGTGAAAGCACAGCACTTGTCAGACTGATAAAAACAGACTACATTCAAGTTCTTAGGTTTTACATCTTTAAAAAAAAATATTTTTTGAGGTATAATGTAACAGTCTATACTCTGTAAACCAAAACCAGGACACAAAAGCCCCGAATAATTTTGGGTTGGGGGATTAATTCTGTCTCTGAATATTCCCCTTAGAAAAGAGGGTGAGCGAAAGATGTAATGACTACTGACAGAGAACAACTGCTTCCTTGAATTCAGCGGGAGGCTCTTGAGGGGAAAAGCTCATCTTTGTAACTGAGGCAATTAGGCAAACACTAAACACTCCTGCCCTGGTTACTGATAATGTCGGGGAAGAAAGTGGCTGATGTAATCCAGGAGACAGAGAGAATAAGGACAGAGTCGTTGTCCATCCCAGCAAAGCTTTCCCTGCTTCTTCCATGAGGAGAGGATGGCAGAGCAGGGTCTTATTCTGAATTATCTTCATGTGTGTGGATTGACAAGCAGTAGACTGAAAGGAGTCTCAATTTGAAGGGAAACCCGAGAGAGCATGTATGAACATGAATGAACCTGGGAAACAGTACTACACTGTAGTTTGAAATAATATTCAGTGTTTATCTGGAGTGTTTATTTTCTAATGTAATAAAAGAAGGAATTTCCTGAGGCTGGAAGATCATCATAATCTGAGAAATGAGAAGTGATCTGAGGTTTCATTGCCAAGAATGATACAGACTTGCCCCCATTTCTATCCTGTGATAGAACCATTATCATGGAAATTACACTTGGAGGGCAGTACGAGAAATAACAAGATGATGTGTGCCAGTGGTTTCAATGTGAAGAGGCACCAGTCCAAGAAGGTGCATAGACATAAATCTGCCGGTGGCAATGATGTAATTATGGGCTTAGATCAGTTCTCTAAGCCAGGCTGGAAGCTCGACCACAGTCCTTTGGGGAGAAGAGACTGTGGATGTAATTAGAGCAAAAAACTGAAGAAACACATTTCACTTAAAAAACAAACAAATCTCTAAAACTCTAAATAAAACTCAATGTCTGTACAGGGACCTTCAAGAGCCTCAGACATGCATAAAACAGAGGCAGCCAAGGAGGGAGGAAGCGGCCACACATGTCTTTATAAGCTCAGTGTCAGCTCTGAGCAGTACATGAACGGCAGGGTTGAGCTTTTCCTGGGGTCCCTGGCCTGCAAGCTCTGAGGTCCATGTGACTTGTAAGCATTTAGGACAAGCGTCTCAGGAGAGCATTTCACAAGTAAGTACATATTTCTTCTCCCTTGACTATGGTTTCTAGTTTTCCTCTCCCCCAGCTATTGTTTAATTCTGTGGTTCAATTTTTTGATGAACAGTGGGAGGTACGTGTTAAGCAATGCTCTAAGAATGAAGTCAGTTTCAGTGACTGCCATCAGGAGAACTGACCTCCCACATCTTCCAAACCAACTGTGATTCTGCTGAAAACAGAAAGGACAGACACAGGAAAAAGAGCAGGTAGCAAGTCTTCTCCGTCTTGGTAATTGCAATGTCTGTGCCCAGCATACAACAGGGATGTCACAGATGCTAGTTCAAGCCAACTGGCCATTTTATCTAAACACTGCTGTTTTCTGATCTGTGTTCTGTTTCCAAGTAGGAGTCAGCAGTCATAACACTCATGGGTTTTTGAGCAATCTCTTGTTGCTCCCTATGAACCCATTAGTGAAAGGGATTAAATGGCTAAATCTGGCACAAAAATTATCCTGATGGAAGAGTTGAACATTAGTAAGACCTCAAGCCATTAGCAAGAAAAGTCAATGTAACAGCAGATTTAGAGAGTATGAAGACACCCAAGCAAAAATGAGAGTTGAAATAATTTTCATTTTTCTCTTAGAGATAAGTGAAAAGCATGACTGTTACAAACACTAAGCATCTGTACAGAATATTATCCAAGAGCTCTACAGTCATAGTGCTTATTAATATATGCCACAGAAAAGAACAGATTCTATGGCTAAAGTAATCACAAGCAAGTCTTGATTTTCTGAGAATAATACAATTTTGTAGGTAAGAATAAAGATTAAGCATGATACTTACTGAGTATGACTTAAATATATTTCAGGAAGTATATTTCAATTGAAACTGAAGCAATATCTATTAAGTGAATAAACTGAGACAAGAAGGTTTTAAAAATATAACATTCCTTTATTAGTAAAAAGAGCGTAGAGAAATTCTAGAAGCCCTACTACCATCTTGTCTTCCTGGAAGAGAAAGCCACTTGAAAAAGTGCTGCCCTGGACCCAGGGACCAGTTCATAAGACGAGTAAGTGGACGGCAAACAGGAAAAGCCTCAGCTCCATCACAACCAGAAGAGAGGAGACTGGGCATTACTATCAGATGTTTTAGAATTTAGGAAGACACAGTTTAAACAGTTTAGACAAAGAGATGGGGAAGGTTCCCCAACAAGAAACTCAGAGGACTAGAGTTAAGTGATCTACATAAATGTATTTTTAAAAAGATTAGGTCTCAACAACATATAAACAGTTTTAATCTAGGATATGAGCAATATTATAAGTTAGTACGCAAGACACTTATAGTCAATAAAATCTGAAAAAATGTCCAGCTATTTGGAGAATCTCAAAAATTCAACAACAACACCACCAACAACAAAATCTTAAGGTGCAGCTAGAGAGAGAGTTCAGCAAGTTAAGAGGATTCTCTCTTCCAGAGAGCCAGAATCTGTTCCCAGAACCCACATCAGGTGGCTCAGAACTACCTAAAACTGTAGCTCCAGTGGAATCAGGTTCTTCTGGCCTCTGGCACCTGTACACACATGCACATACCCTCACACAGACACAAACGCATACACATATAATTAAAATAAAATCAAATCATAAAAACTGTTTAATACGAAGTCACTTTCATTGAAACCTTACAACGTTAGGGAGAGCTTACCTGCAGCAAATGACAGCTTTGCATGACAAAGCCAAGTCCAGGAAATACTGCCGGATGCCAAAGGTTAAGGCGTACTTCAGGGTCTTCCCGTCAATTATGAGAGCAAAATCGTTTTCCTTCCGAAGAGCATCTCCAAGGGTGGTACAGTGCCGATTCAGAGTTTCCCTTGTTCCCTGGAATATTAAACAAGGCCATCAACATTCACTTTGCTTGCTCTACTAAGATGCCTTCAGTATGTTTAGTAACTAAATGTAGCTATTTTTAGTGCTTTTTATCTTTCATATTGCTTTCATAAAACTTCATTCAGTTGGTTGTCACAATGGCCCTTTAATGGGGAACTTAACAAAGGTTATCAGGAAACTTTATGGAAGTTGTACATCTGTCCACACAGGGCAGGGCCTGGACCACAAGTCACTCATTCCTCAATGGCTTCAGTCTCTGCTCATTACTCTAACTACACAATTGCAATACTGCAAAAGCATTTCAGTAAATTATCTTGTTACAAAAGAACAACACTGATCTAATTTATGAACTAGTCAAAACTGTTTTGCTGTGAACCAATGGGAAAAAGTTAGAGGACATAATTTAAATAATTTATGGGTATTCTTTGAAAGTACTCAATGCTACTGAAATTTAATTCCCAGGAACCTAGAGGAGGAAATACAGGGTTTGTTATCTCTTGTCAGTTCATGAACTGGCTTCTCTATAATCATGATTTCACGATGTTGTGTTTTAGTTGGGAATGGTGATATGTGGCTTGGCAAGCGTAATGGATCAAATAAAAGAACTTTCTACGAACCAAAAGTTTGCTTTTAGGCAGAATAAAAACCTTTAGTGTCAAGGAGCTTGGCTCATTTTGACTATACAGGAACAGGTACATCTGTCTTCCTCTGTCAAGAATTGTTTCCCCAGCTCATCAAACAGAAAAAGTTGAAAAAAATCTCCCACATGAAAGTTTAATTCCTTATACCTAGACCTCCTCCTAAATCCTATAGGCTCTTCTTTTAACCCAATGGATCCAATTCCTGTTCTGCAGAGACCTAACACTGTGAAGAAACACAACATTCACCCTGAATTAGGAAATAGAAGAAACAAGACCCTGAGTACTAAACCTGAAATTATTTACATAAAGCAAATACATATTCATATAATAAAATACAGTTATGATAATATATTAACATGATTAAAGAACAGTTTTTATTTTTTAATATTCAAAACATAATTATTTGTTCTGGTTACTTTTGATTGTCAATCTGACTGCACTAAGCAATGCCCATGAGATTAACAGAGCACACCTCTTGATGGCATGTCCAGAGACCATCAGATCACTGACCTAATAAATGGATCCATTCCTTGACAGATTATAAAATGGTGGCACTACTGGGAAACCATGAAGGGAAAGGGGGTGGTGCCTGCTTGGAAGAGGCAGGTCAACTGGGTGTTGATCTAAGTGCTCTATCCCATCCTGGTCTGTTCCAGTCCACTGTGATGTTAGCTGATCTGTCATGTCCTGCTTGTCATAATGGTCTAAATCCATGAAGTTGTGAGGAGAAGAAACCCCTCTTGTCTTCAGTTATTTCTGTCAGATACTCAGTCACAGGGATGAGAAAAGTAACACAGATTGTTGCTCCAATTGAAGGCTGTGGTGCAGTCATTTGTAGTAGTGTTTCATAGGGAGGGAAACAAAGGTACAGGAAATAAATATTTTATATGAGAGATTTTTGGAGGTTTATTTTTCTTTTTTTGTTTTTTTTTTTAGTTTTAGTGTTTTTTAAAAATTATTTTTAATATTAAAAGTAATTTATTGAGACTTTCATACATGCATATAAGATATTTTGATCAAATCCATGCCCACTCCCTCCCCTCCAACTCCTCCCATATTTCCCCATCACTTTTTTCTGCTAACTTCATGTACTATTTCTTTTTCTTTGATTGATTTATTTATTTTTATGGGGCTTTTGGGTACTCTAACATTCCCCACTCTGAAGAGGTAACCCTAAAATCTTTTAAGGATTAGATACAAGCTACCAAATACTTTTGACACTTTTGGCCTTTGGAAAAGAGTATGTTGCTAAGAGGTCCAAGGACATTTTGACATTCAGCCAAGAAACTGGCTACTTTTCTTTGGGGTCTTTTTACCCGAATTGCCTAGACAATTCCTACCTCCTATTCTTATCACACCATCCTCTGAAGAGGTTACCCAAATTGCCAATAGGGAATAGGGACGCAGAACGTTCTGGCTTCTTCCATGATGAACAGGGACGCAGGGTGAGGCGCACCCCTGGAGCACCCCTTCAGTGGGTCTATCTAAAAGAATCCCAAATTGCGTAACTCTTGTCTCTAAGGGGAAAAGAAAGTCCTCGACTGGTGAACAGGAGATGTGAAGGAGAAGTAAAGGCCAGAGTAATTAGCATTACAAGTTTTAGACTGGGAACTAGAAAAAAGTCAGAACAGGGCAATTTTCAAATGTTCATATCAGAGTCCATTGGAATTTCTTGACAAGGGCTTCCAAAAGCATCCCTCTATTGGGTTCCTCCTCATTTTTCTTTCTAGAGTCCAAGACTGGACTCAAGAGTGATGGTTTCAGGATTTGCTTTCAGGTATTTTGATAGCTGTTGGAGTGGTTAGAATCAGTGTCAGTTCCCTCTCAAAGGCTTCTAGATAGGGGGAGAAAACAAATTTATCCATCATTTTAGAACAATAGCTGGTTGTTTCCCTTAGCTACAGGTGAGCACTACAGTATTGTAGACCAAGATTTGAACTCTTAAATCTGAGCAGCACTTTCTGGTTAGGAACAAAATCATCAATGAGAAATAACTGTCAAAATAACTTTTTACATAGACTTAAGCCTAATGTCTGGGAAGTGTAATCCCTGGAACTCTTAAAGAAATATATTGATGACTTTACTTTTCGGTTATACTTTCCTTTTGGGTGTTTAAGACCATACAGTTGGCCCAAATAAATCAATTTATTTTTATACTTAAGGTCATCTGAGGATCTGTTCCTCAGGGGTCACATGGGCTTGGGAGGCGCTCCTGGCTCCTTTCTTTTACCAGTTCCACCTATGTGAAC